TTTCATCTCCAGAGCCCACTTTTAAACATCTGTGCTGGTTGCTAGAAAACATGTGCAACCATTGTTTACATATGCTTGTGTACTTAACTTAACACACCAGCTTCTCGAGTAAAGACACAAGAGACTGCAGCCTTGGATTCTTCGCCACCTCATCTGCTGCTATTATTAACCTAACCCCCTCCCACAGACACTTCATCACAGTTTCAATCTCACACTTTTTTTTGTCTCACTCAGCCCTGATTTCTCACATCTGCATGTCCTTTCTGGGTCACAATGACACACTGTCATAAGCTGCTGTTCAATTGGAATTAATTACTCTGAAAATGTTATTCTTGCAGGGATAATTTGCCATTTTTGGATTTAATTTCTTTATATAAAAGAGCAATACCACCGAATACAAAGCTATATAGCCAAAAGCCAGTTATTAATATAAGCATTTAAAACATAAAACAACTACTCTGAATCGGCCAAAAGACTAAAGCTAATTTCCTCTCTGCACAGTGTTTTCAGGTAGGAGACCATGAAAAACTCTTTTTTTGTGTTTTCCACCTTGTTAGGTTGTAATTGGTTGAGCAGGAGGGGAAACTTAACAAAACTTTATTTGAAAATGTTGTAAAATTGTACATTTAAAATCACCTGAAAAGAAAACGTTTCTACTGTTGTCTAACAGCAGGGTTTACTTCACTGTGATCATCAAATCTTTTTTCTTATAAATTTTCTCATGAATTTTCTTATAAATTCTTTACATTTATGATTATTAAACAAATAACACCATTTCAATCATTTCTAATTATAATGACTCTTTCTAGAAGGGTGTAAAAAACATCATACAATTTTACACAAAAGTTATCAGATCCTTTTGAGATATTTGTGCATCAGTGAGTGTGTTCTTTATCTTAAAGTCAGCAAACCAATCAGCTTCTAACTGTAACTCCTTAAGATATGTGAATATCACCAAATGTGTCATGGCAAGGCAGTGATAGTGCCTATTTCTCATTGTATTGTTTGTTTTCTTCTTTGCATTTTTAGATGTGACTGCTTTTAAAGGTTCGTAACCTTGAAATTCCCTTTTTTGTCTCTTTTTGTTGGACATGGCAATGACAAGTATGTTGCACACCTTCTTGTCTGCATGTGATCTTGATGGAAATCTCTGGTTCTCTGTTCATACACAAATACACACTTTGCACTTCCTGACTTTGAGAGCTGTCAGCGATTAACAGCGGGCCGTTTCAGCACCCGGGACAGTTCCTCCCCCCAGACCTGCGAGATGTTCAAACCGGGAACTCTCACATCACTCCTTAAGTCTGACTGGGGACACCAGGACTTGAGTCCAGTGGTGAGATTTGCCAATTCCACACATGACCGTGTGTGCGCTTGCATGTGTGCATGCATGCATGAGTCAATGGAGTCATCCGGCCCTACCCCCGCATTCGCATATCATCCACCCAGAGCTATTCTATCTGTATGGAAATTTGGGCTCCACAGCTGGAATCCCACAAAGCACTGTCATCTACTAATAGTTATTATCGCTTTGGCCTGTTCCCTCAGAAAAACCCTGCAATACAAGCCCATCGCATCTTTATGATAATGCCCTACAATATAGCCCCAAGCTATAGCGCATAGACCTTTGTTATCATTACGATAATTCCCATTCTCACTTGACTCCTCATTACACTACTGAAACTGCTCGGGGTTGGATGTAGACAAATTCCTGCATCTTTCTTTATTACATACAAAAAAAATCTAATATTCAAGAAGTCAGTATGATGGCAATTACATTTAAGGGTTGTTATAAATTAACAGTAAAGGCTTGCATGATGTAAGAATCATAACCTGATGACTTACTTTATCGAAAAAATTATTTTGAGCACATTATTTTAATCTAATTGAAAAAATATTCAACAGGACATGAAATATATTTTTTTAAACTCATATCAATTATTAGAAATATATGTGTGTATATGTTGCATAGATTACATTTTCCTATCTTTTACTTTTTTTTTTTAACTTACCTAAATGTTGAAAAGAAATGTTCTTTCCCTACAATACAAAACTCTTTCCACTGATGTAGGCCAATAGTATCTTCAGAGATTTATCACACTTGTAACCTCAAATATCAAATTACAGGGCAGTGAAACTATGAAACTTTTTAAATGTTGCAGTGTAAAATCGATTCAGTTAAAAGGGGGATTTTGCAATGGAGGCTGACTCTTCCAGACCTGTCACTTTGGGCTGATGATTTTCTCTGCATTACTCCAACAACCAGCTTCGGGTCAACAGTATATTTTAAGAATAGCTAAGAGAGAGACATGGCAGCTTGTGTCCTTGCATCTCTCCATGAATGCCCACACGAGGCCCCCGGACTGTATTGAAGACGTAATTGCAGAGTGATTGGCACAGCTTGTTTCGTGCAGCCTGTGTCCCGCTCTTGAAGGCTTTCCTCGGAGCACCCTCATTGTCACACAGCCTTTTAGCACCTTTGTTCCGGCCTTTCCCCGAGGACCTCACAGCTCACCATTGGCAGATGAGTCCTTCTCTGTGACAAAAGGGTCCCTGTGCTCACTCTCATTTGATGCAGTGATGACCCCCCCTCAACACACACACACACACACAAACACACTCACACACACAAACTTTGAGCATCCCCTCTTGCAAGACAAAATGTTCCGTTTAGTGGTGGAGGGTGTGGGGGTCAGGACCCAGGGGTGGGCTTTTAGGAAACAAATAAACATCAGAGCAGGAGAGAGGTGATGTCTTGTTTACACATTAGCAACCATTTAGCAAGTCCCACTGATTTTATTTTCGCCATCTCTTTTGTGGCCTTTCAAACAGATGATCTTTCTCTTTTGTACCCTCCCACTTTGGCATCACCTCTCCAGACTCACCTACATAGCCTGACTTTAATTCAAATCAAACCGGAATCTTAACATGCCTAATGAGAGAACAAACTAAGATTCAGAATTATTAGCTGCAGCACTTTTTCCAGTGATTGTCATCAAACAGCTTTTGCCCTTCCACTGTTAACATTTAGTTGCATCTAATCTGGAAAACACACACACACACTCACTCACAAACGGCATCTTTCTAATACCATCTAATGAGGTGATGACCAACCACTTGTTATAATTGCTTCAGTCCCATTTTAATTTTCAAGCTTATTAATCATATGTAGAGTTATTTAAGAATGCATAAATTAATCTTAGATTAAAAAGCCTATCAAAGCCTCAAAACAATTAAAGAGTAAGGTAAGATTTCCCCTGGGTTGGCACTTTTATTTTAATAGAGTATTCAGGTGATTATCATACTTTGATGCAGCACTGTGATTAATGCAGACACACTTTTAAATGAGCTGTTCTCTCTTGCCCAGAAAGGTAGAACATACAGGAGCCTGTAACTGACCCAACTGTTTGTTTTTTGTTTGTTTGTTTTTTTGTTTGTTTGTATTTGTTTGTTTGTTTTTGCCTACTTTTCTTGTTTACCTGCCTACAGGTTTTGGCTGAAGAGTCCCACAGAGAACAGCACTTCCTGCAGAGAAAATGGTCCAATGAGTTTGAATATTTGAGCTCCAAATAGAATGTACGATAGATACAATGAGGTTAATATTTTTAAGGGGGGCTGTATTCAATACATGCAGTACTTAAAAGGATCATTTAAAATTATTTCACTCCATTTGAATTGATTCAAGTCTGTCCTATAAAAAAATAATGAATAAAAATAACACAAAAAACAGATAAACATGTGAAGGACGTGGGTTTTTAGTCTGAATTTGGTCACTTCTGTTTTTTTTATCTGTTATTTTTCACATATGTCATTTTAATATCATATTAATTTATTGTATTATTTACCAATTAATCTAAATTAAGGCCCGCGGATTTTATTCCAAAGTGATTTAGAACATAGCTTGTAATGATTATGTAGGAAGAAAGGAAGTGTCTCAAGTAATCACTCCCATATGTAACAATGATGGGGGAGAACATTATGGAAATGAATGAATTCGATATCAGTGTCTGAGTTTCGTTTGGCAGCTCTTTTAAAATGCGATGCATTTTTCATCTCTAGTTGGAATATTATAGTGATTATCACCGTATTTATTATTATTGATATTCTAATAATTAATTCCCTTTAATTAGACTTCACATGCATGTAAACAATGCATATGCCTGTCTTAGAATGAGTGAATAATTACGGACAACTTGTCATTATTGCTGCGCACTGCTCCCCCCCCCCCCCCCTGAGTCAATGAGGCCAGCAGGAACGTGTCCCGTTAACTTCATCATCAATATTACATCAGGTCCTGTCTCTGCGCGCGGGTCAGAAGAAAATGATTAACCTCACCCTTCATTGACTTTCAAAAGTTAAATGTCCGCAACTTAGGGTGGAAACCCCCACGTGGCTCATCCGTCTGAACTTTTCTCTTTCAGATTTAGTGGGCAGGAGCAGGATCAGATGGAGTGACCCCCGGAGCAGCTGCGTATTGTCGCAGCACGTGTAGGCCTTTCGGATTGTGAGCGGCTAATCCGTGGGAACCCAGCACGTGATGAAGGCCTGCACCCCTTTATTCATCATCAGCGGAACCCTACTCTGAGATCACAATGAGTCGTGTGAACCCTGATGTTGGAACGGGATGCCGTTTCCCATTACAGCCTCCCAGACGCACGCCAACCATAACTGCGTTCTTCAGCGTAAAGTCCCAAAAAATAGACTCCAACCAAGGGGGGAATTGTCTCAATTAATTCGAATATGCACTTCACATATTGCTTAAAATATTTACGTCTTTTCTTTCTTTCCTTCTTTTTTCTAAACACTTTTCTATCCGGGGGCAGCTTTCCCTGGACCAACGCTCACATCTGACCTTCTTCACTGGTCATGAATTCATACTTAAAGCGGGTGGCCTGTGCGTTAATGGGAGTGCCTTTCTCATAAGTTTTTTTTTTTTTTTTTTTGCCGTCACTTGATTGTCGTAGTCGTGGTGGAGGGGGCTGTGCTCCCGTCAGGCTGCCATGTGGACACCGCTGCTGCTGGTGGCGCAACCCAAACCGTCCGCGCACCCCGAGAGCGCAGCACAGAGGCAGGGAGACAGCCATCAGGAGGGAGGCGGTGCTGCACGGACAACTGCGTCCCACTCCTAAGGCAAACATCTTTACATCCTTCTGAGCAGACTTCTAATCGCTCAGACATCCGCTCGATCACGTTCGCACGCGCTCACATATAAATAGTGCACGAGAGAGGAGCTGAGCCAACGTCAAGGGTGAGTTTTGGAGAAAAATGCTGATAATATAAACAGTTTGCGTTGCAGATTGTTGTTGTTCTTATTCTTTTGAACATTTTCAAGATGTTATCGCGTCATTGTATTTTCATTATTCCCGACAATGCCTGAACGCTTAGAGCAATAGAAAGTTTACGCATCTGAGTTTGTGCGTGAAATTTAGATCCATAAAGATGTCTCAGACCTGAGCTCTGAAAAAAGTCCCTGTCATGCGACTGAATTGAAAAAAAAGAAGTCCTTTTTTGTCAAGAGTTTTCCTGAACCTTGAGGTTTTACTCATTTGACTTAAATATCAAACGGTTCTGCTGCTTCCAGGCCCCCCAAGGATGGACTCCATACCTGCAGGACGAGACTCCAGCTCCTCACCAAACTCCAAACAAGAACTTTCATACTCGACCAGCAACTTAAAACCAAACCAGGTCGGAGAGACGGTCCTGTACGGAATACCCATTGTGTCTTTGGTGATCGACGGCCAGGAGAGACTTTGCCTCGCGCAGATATCCAACACTTTGTTGAAGAATTACAGCTACAACGAGATCCATAACAGGCGCGTGGCGCTGGGCATCACCTGCGTCCAGTGCACCCCTGTCCAGCTGGAGATCCTGCGGAGGGCCGGAGCGATGCCCATCTCCTCCAGGCGCTGCGGGATGATCACCAAGCGCGAGGCGGAGAGACTCTGTAAGTCTTTTCTCGGAGCTCACTCGCCTCCAAAACTTCCGGAAAATTTTGCCTTTGACGTGTCCCATGAATGCGCCTGGGGGAGTCGTGGCAGCTTCATCCCCGCCAGGTACAACAGCTCCAGGGCCAAGTGCATCAAGTGCACCTACTGCAACATGTACTTTTCCCCGAATAAATTCATATTTCACTCGCATCGCACGCCAGAGTCCAAGTACACGCAGCCGGACGCGGCCAATTTTAATTCCTGGAGACGGCATCTCAAACTAACGGACAAAAACTCTCCCACCGATATATTGCACGCCTGGGAAGACGTGAAGGCCATGTTCAACGGGGGCAGTCGCAAGAGAACGCTGCCCTGCGGTGGCTCAGAGTCCAGCTCTCCCATCAAATCGCACGGGCCCAGCCGTCCACGAGACTCTCCCGAGGTGCCTGCGAAGATCCTCAACTGCGAGGACACGCGGAGTCCCATGACGAGCACGCGCAGCTACCCGGTCATCCCGGTGCCCAGCAAAGGCTTCGGGATGCTGCAAAAGATCCCCCCGCCGCTGTTCCCTCACCCATACGGCTTCCCGGCTTTCGGTCTGTGCCAGAAGAAGGAGGACAGCATGATGGGCGAGCAGAGCAAGGCCGGCCTGCCGGGGGTCCTGTGGCACGGCACCAAGGACAGCGCCTACCACTCCTTCCCGATGTTCTGGCCCGGTGCGGGCCCTCTCCCCATCCCTCCGTACCCCCAGGCTCCGCACAAACCCCCGCCAGAGCTGCTCTGCGCCCCCAGACAAACTGACATGGACATTTCCGAAAGCAGCGACCGGAGCACCAACACGTCCAAAGACAGCGTGGTCGATAACGACCGGTGCTCCAGCACCCAGTCCATGCGTAACGAAGAAGACAAGTCCGGGGACGAGGGGAGGCCGGTGGAGGGTCTAACCCTCCAGTCTCGGAAAATCAGCTACGTGTCCGCGTTCAGACCCGTTATCAAAGACGCCGACTGCATCGCCAAGCTGTACGGCAACAGGAGCGCGTACAGCGGGTGTCGCACCGGCTATTTGTCGCCCGATTTTTTAAGCGAGAGCTCAAGCTACCGGTCCATGTCCCCGTGCGTGGACAGCGAGGGCGAACCGGACGTGGACGTGGAGACCCACAAAACGGCAGAGGAGGAGGAAGAGGAGGAAGACCCCCGGCCTCTGTCGTCCATGTGTCCCCAAACTCCACCCGGCGCCGCGCGCACCGATTCACCCAAAGACTCCGAGTCCAAAGGCGCGCACGAGGCCGGCCAGCTCGAGCCCCAGAAAATGAGCCTACATGTGGCCCAGTCTTGCGAAAGAGAACTGCAGAGCAAGCAGTTGTCTGCGCCGTTCTCAGCAGTGAGTGACTTTTAACTGAAACACTGGAGATTTTTCAAGCTGTAATATTTCTCTGACGTTTTCCTGCAAGTGGCTTTTGTTTTTGTTTTTTTTCTTGGCCTGTGTGTGTGTATACTTTTGAGCAGATAGCCTAAGTGTATTCTTGTGGGGGCAATGTATCATAAATGTTAAAACGATGTAACAGCAAGAACAACTATGTGCATAGCATTCAGAAGACAGATATTCTCCGTATTTTTTGGACAAAAAAATAAAAGTATAAACATTAAAACGCAGAGTACATTTTTATATTAGTAGTTTAGGATTTTATTTGACTCCATTAGCTCAAAGAAGTGGTTATTCTTTCTCGTTTAGGTTTACACACCGGAGAGGGGAGAGCTGCAACAAAGGAGCAGCCCGTTTCAGTTCAGACCCACCAATTACCTGACCGCAGCACTCACAGCAAATGGTTAGACACACAACTTAATATATAGAAATACACACACAAATAAATACATTTAATCATTTGATAATTTAGCAGCAAAAATCTGCGAGAGGAAAAAAAAATTATATGGATTTATTTTCTCTTAAGATGAGAGTGCAAGTAAAGAAGAACCATCTTCTACAGTGGAGGAGATCGAAACGAAATCTTTTAGCGGACAAAGCAGCGAAGAGAACCAGCGAGAGCAGGAGGAGGGTAAGACACAGCAGGCCATCCAAAGCAGATATTTCTAATGCTTTTAAAAATTCATTTTTTATATTTCAATTCATAATTTTTATTAAATTATTCATATCTATATTCATATATATAGATAAATACATATATCCGTCTGTTTTGTGTGTGTGTGCGTGTGTGTGTGTGTGTGTGTGTGTGTGTGTGTGTGTGTGTGTGTGTGTACACGGTGCTCAGGTGAGGACGCGTCAGTCAGAGCTGTACCAATACAAAGAAACATTCAAAGTCTGGCAAAAGGTAAGACGGTTTCCCTCTGCCAGAAAGAAAAAAAATGGTAAATATAACAATGTAATTACTAATGTTATTATTATTTCTATTTAGGTTTAAAATACCTGAGATTTTTAAAAAAGTGTTTGAAACATTGTGAGACTCGTAAAGTGATTGTAATCGTCACCCAATCGCTCACCTCCAACAACTTTTAAAGCCCTAGGGCCGTAGTCTTATAAACCTGACGTTTTGGGAGGCAGTTATGGCCCCTCACCTGCAGAACAGCGTCTCATTTCCCACTGAATATGCACACAAACATAAGATCCTTTATTACGACCCTAGTCCTGAGAAGACCCGCTCAGAATTGTCTTTGCAAATGATGATGACGTCCTCGTCACCGCCATTAAAAATAGACAAATGTCCTAGATGTTTCATTTCTCCTCAAAGACCTTGTCCTTTGTGTGTTTTCAGAGGAACTGCAGAAGCAGCTGCTGGAGCAAGTTGAGCTGAGGAAAAAACTGGAACGTGAGTTTCAGAACTTGAAAGGTAAGCAAAAATTGGATATTAATTAGCAATTTAGTCATGTGGCTCATATAAGATCAGAAGAAAATATATGTCAAATATTATTATTGATGTGCTGCAGTGAACACCCCACAATTAAAATATATTTTAGATATTTATACATCAAGACCATCAGTCTCATTTTATACACATGCTGTACACATAATTCTTTAAGCCATTCAAGTCCATTTTCCCAAAACTCAAAGCCTTGTGTTCAGTCATGTGTGTCTCCAATAGAACAGAGCTGTTAGAATAGCAAGTATAGCTGGAATAGCAATTATTTTACTTAGAACAAGAACGTGCTGCTAACTATTATTTTATTTATCTTTTACACTTATGTGAATAAATTCCAAACATGCTGAGAGGTGTCCCTGAATTTACAGTAAACAATAACATGACCCGTTATATTCTATTTCTCTCAAATGTTAAAGTCTATGTATTGTTCTATTAAAATTGTAATTAGAAACTCTTTCTCAATTTTCTAAAGCCATAGAAAAACACCTGTGTACTTGTAATTTTTTTATATAATCCTGCATAATAAATTGTCAAACATTTGATTTTTCTTAAAATTACTGTTTCGGATGATTATTGATTGACAATAAGACAAAAAAGTATTGAAAAAGAATGGAAATGGTAACTTCATGAATAATGCTCGGAATGATTCCTGTAAGACACATCTTTAGATCTCTCTTTATTAAAATTCACATTCCATATAATTAGTGTCATTACAGAGGCAGTTTGCTCAGGTTACATTCATTCGTTTGCAGAGATCTGAAAAGCAGGAATGACTTTAAGTTTTATAGTAAAATATTTTAGAAAGGTTTCAAATGAATGCTTTCAGTGCCTACCAATAGATCTACTATTTCATGCTGTCATTAGGTGTTAGGTGCCGATGGAGAGGAGCTTTATCACGAGAACAGCGCCCTCTGTAGACTGGAAAACCGTCCCATCCATTTCAACATCCCCCAAATTTACATGACAAAAACATAAATCTACCCAAACCCTTTCATCCTGACAGTTTTTCATTCTCACAGATATTAAGGAAAAATGCCAAAGCTCTACTCATATATATATCAAGTACTGTAACATTGAAGTATGCAGCACACATAGGTAATCTATTTGTGTATTTTGTTTGTCAGATAATTTTCAGGATCAAATGAAAAGGGAACTTTCTTACAGGGAAGAGATGGTGCAGCAGCTTCATATCGTGAGAGGTGAGAAACACAAAGTGAGCCTAAAGGGCCTTTATTATGGAAAAGTACCCTTTCCCCTGTATTTTAGAGGATATATTTTTGTTTGAAAAGTTCATGCTTACACAAAAAACAAAAAACCCTGACCTTTGGACCTTACAGCAACAATTCTTGATCCTATAGTCAAAGATGTTCAGATTTTCCTGGTTAGAGGATTTACAGCATGAGCTTTCAGTAGGGCTAACTGTCCAGCAGCCATCGCAGTGTCCGAGGCCGCGCAAGGTCCAACTGACCGTTAGGAAAATTTAACATTTTGATAATAAAATTATAAGGTTGAATATTTTTGTCTTTTTTATGGTTGCAACTATCCAGCTGTAGTTTTGTCATGACACAGTAGCGCTCCAAGATTGATCCAGATCTCAAAAGAGGTGCACCATGAGGAAGATGAGGCATGGAGGTGTCTTAGATCTCTCCACACTTAAATAAATGAGGTGTAAAAACAAATGCTGAAGCAGGTGCTGCTGTAATGTTTTCTTAAAAAAACAACAACATCAGAAACCTACTATTAAGATATAGTTTTTCTCAACTTTTACAAAAGGACAGAGTACGTCTCCCTGAAATAGAGCAGTTATTTAAAGCCATATTAGTTCAATCCCCCATTCTTTTTTTCTTTTTGAATGTATTTAGCACTAGATAATTGTGAAGATAGACATGAGTGGATTTCACAGGACACATTTATTTGAATGGTTTTATCATATAGTGAATCTGATGGAAAAACATAGGGCAAGTTTCCCACAACAACTTTCATTATAATAAGTGTTCATTGTTTGCCATAATAATTTTCCCTCAGCATGGCTCAGAATCCGTCCCAATGTCCAGCTGTTGTGAACGTTTCTAACGGCTTAAAATGATTTAATCATACACGTGTGTCTGCAATATTCTTAGTGTTTGATAGCTTTCAAGTTTCCTATACACTCTAGTGCTCACACACTATTAATTGTCTTATATCCTTCTTCATAGAAGCTCACGACGCGTTACACCATTTTTCCTGTAAGATGTTAACTCCACGACACTGCACGGGATCCTGCTCCTTCAAGTCTCCCATGCTGCCGCCATAAGAAGAGCAGATCTGGCGTAGGATGAGCTAAAAGGACACATCTGTCACACATCTGCTGCTCCTGTCAAACAGCAGAGCCTAGAATGTGAAATGCGTCCGCGGAAACTGAGGAACGGAACTGAAAAATAGACTAACCTGTAATTACTTGTAATCTTTGAAAGGAAAGTGTATTTCCACCTTTATTATTTCTGAAAATCATCCCGCACATTGTGATATTTGTTTTACAGAAATTATGCCATATATTCTGTTTATTTGTGGCAAAGTGCAATGATGTGCTGTGTTTCTTGTAACGGTGAGTTGTTTTTATTTATTTTTTCCCATAGCAGCATTGAATAGCCAGTTTGTGGTTTGTTATCCTCTCAGAGTTGTAAATAATCCTAATGCTGTTATTTATTTTACTTTTTGGTTGATGTTTTTTTCAGGCCAGTAGCTGACGTTGGACGTTATGCACTTTAAACGAGTGATGGGAATTACATTAAAAAACCTGCTTTGAGATATGTTCAACAGTATAGCGGTCAAACATTTGTTTTTGAGGATTGGACAAACGCAGAATTTAAAAGGCGACATTAGCATCTGCGATCTTGTAGCGATATATTCCATCCAGAGTAGCCTGTTTGTCACTGTAAGATTGGTTTCCATGGCTAATAAATAAATAATTTTACCGAGAAAGAAAAGTTTACTTTTTGCCGTTTGTGTAGTTTATCAGTCTCTTTTTTCTGCTTTCAAAAATGTATTTTCAAAAATGTAGATCTATGGAACTTCCCATTGCAACTACTATCTTTAATGTGCCCATTTTTTAGTGACCAAATAATTTTTTGTTGCTTTATTTTTTCAATTGATCTCTAGTAAATTGAAACAGCTGGATCACATTTCAAATTCACGGTAAAAACTTTAAACGATCGACAATGTTGACTGTTTCGAACACTTTTTCTGGATGGGAAATCCACATATCGATGAACGGTGGACGCTGGCCATTTGAGCTTTAGAAATAACTTATTTGATAATAATCTAGATTTGTAGCTTTGAATTAATTTTGTTCCAATAAATCCAATCAATTGATGTTTCAGTCAAATTTCAGGTTTTAACTAAATATGAAAATGTAGGCTATTACTTGAACCTTCTTGACAGGATTATTTGATTGATCGTGTTCAGTCAGGTGAAGTAAACGGCTCAAATCGGATGGGTTTGATCCCGTCCTCGGACATACCCTTGCAGTGGCCATTGTGCGTGGTGCAACAGCGCCCCCTGCAGTGTGATGCCTGGAAGGGCAACCTGGCCGAAGAATTTTGCAAAGGTACTGTCCCTTGAGAGAAACTGTGCTGCGCCTGCGCATCCAGTGTAACAAGATGGCGGAGAGTGCGGAACTGAAGGTAAATCGAGTTGCTACACCAGCTTGATAAATTGACGTTTCAAATGCTGAGATTTGAATTCTGGATCATAACCAGTCGTTATTCAGCTCACAAAGCCATGAAGGGTGATGTTAGCTAACCATATAACAACGAAAGAGTGGAGCAGAAGAGACCAGACAAACTGTTAGCTGCCAGGCTAGCTCGTTAGCATTAGCTTTGTTATTGTTGCCGACGTTCCGTTAGGATGTCGCTGCGGTTCACCTGCACAGTTTATACTATAAATGAAATTCACAGCAGGTCCATTGTTGTCAACACGACTGCACAGTAGTACCAGCTGATTAGATTAGTGTATGAGCGGTCTTGCCAATGTCAGGGTCTGTTTAAAAAAAAAAGGGCTGTGTCTATTCCCTGGAAGCCAAGCACAGGTTAACTGCATTAGCATTTATTCTGACCATTAAAATCGTCTGTTATCGTAATCTTATTTTTTTATTCGCATGTGACCTAATATTTGTTTTGAAAATGCAACATTTTCTTTTAGTACAGCCAAAGTGCTTTAGCATCACTCAGACTATAGGAGCTAGTGTACGCTAACTGAATATACTTCATCTCCTGTGCACATTTTCTATGAAGATATTGCTCATTGTTAACTGACAGAGAATACACACTATGGGAACTTACAGTTCACTCTGAGCTAAACTACAGCTGATAATTGTGTGAACTGCTCAAGAAAGTGCCATGGGCTTCCTATTCCCAGTGATGTCCAATTTCACTTGGTAATGCAGTCATTTATGCCACAAATACAATTTACACATACATGTGAGACAAATGTAAAAGATGCTCTTTATGTCTGAAATTTTGAAAGGTTTTTTTTTTTGTTCCTTCTGAGCCATGGAGGTGTTATATTTAATCATTGATCAAGTACAAGACATATATTCCTGCTATGCACCATATTATGTTTCTTATGTTGCTGTTAACAATCACAAAATCCTTGTTTGATGATTATAATTCATAGTTTCGGCATAATTTTGTAACCTGCTTAGAAAAAACAAGATTTTTATATGTTGTAAAAACATCCAAACATCAAACATTCAAACAACAAATCAGACCGTGGCACAAAAAACATGTCTCTGTTGATGCAATGCATTTGTAAAATATGTAGGCAGGAAAATAAATCTGTTGTGTTGAAAGTGAAGTAGTAGAGCTTTAGTATTTTCTTCTGGTGTCAAAATGAGTAGTTAAACCCTTTTATTAACGGTGGATTCTTCTTCTTTTTTTTGCCAGCAAATGGTAATGAGCCTTCGTGTTTCAGAGCTCCAAGTATTGTTGGGCTATGCAGGACGGAATAAGCACGGGCGCAAACATGAACTTTTGACCAAAGCTCTTCACCTACTCAAGGCTGGTTGCAGTCCTGCCGTGCAAATGAAGATCAAAGAGCTTTACAGACGGCGCTTCCCGACCAAAATGGTTTCGCCTGTGGACTTAGCTCTCCCCGGTGTTCATTCTGCGTCCAGCTTGCCGACTAGCCTCGCCCAACTGGGATTTGACAGCCACGGATCTCCGTCACCGCTGCTGCCTGTTTCTCTACTAGGACCTAAGCACGAGCTGGGTCTGCCTCAGCTCTCCTCCACCCTGCACCCTGTACACCCCGATGTCAAGCTCCAGAGATTGCCATTCTACGATGTGCTGGATGAGCTCATTAAGCCAACCAGCTTGGGTGAGTCCAACTATGTATGTAGTAGCAACATTTTTTCCCCTCGCACATACCCATAAAGAATTGCGTAATGTGACTAGTAATTTCCAACGGTCCCTTGCTCACTTTTTGTTCTTGGTTTCCTTTTTGAAGCTTCGGACAACAGTCAGCGGTTCCAGGAAGCCTGTTATGCCTTTGCGTTAACACCACAGCAAGTTCAGCAGATCAGCAGCTCCATGTAAGTGAAAAAGCAAGATTGTACAATGTGACAAACAATCTCACAGCCTTTTTCAGTTTCCTACTTATCTGACACAGATTTTACATTAAGTTGTATCAAAGTGTGTGTGCTGAACTGAACTGTTCTGATCTGATTTTTTCTATGATTTAGGGACATATCTGGGACCAAATGTGACTTTGCTGTCCAAGTCCAATTGAGGTATTTATGACAAATTTGTCTTTTAGTATCAGTTTGAGTTAATGTTTATTTACGGTCAAATTAATTATGCGTTAGTCTCACTTAACTTCCACTTGTCCTGTCTTGGTTTTTAAACAAAGCTTGTGTGTTTTTTAGATGTCTGTTACATTCTGTCTACTTATTTTGGTGCAAAGCTTAGTCTGATTTAACAACTACTACTATTCACAATTGATCCCTTTTAGCTCTTATCTCAGATTATTTGGTATGTATTACTCAGGTTAGGTTCTGAAACGTAGAACAAATGGTACAGTGTCTGGTTGGTTGAACTTGGCTTGGTATCTTTCTTCTTAAATTTAGGTTAATATTGGTCACAGTCTTTGCAGATTGAGCAGTACAGTCACAGTACAGTATCACTCCTTACATAGATCAGTCATTGAGGTAAGCTTTTACGAGAGAAAAGTACTTTGTAACATAAAAAGTGATGAATGACGTCCTTTAAGAAGTGCTCTCCTATATCATAGATGGAGATGGCTGTACTTGACACTACTGAAATGGTAAAATAAGCAAGCCAACCTTATTGTAAAAGTGGTAACTGTACAGAAACAAATAGCCTTTGACATTTGAGTGACAAAATATGAACATATCATATGTCTAATTTATTTTCTTCATTTTCAGATTTTGCTTATCAGAGACGAGCTGTCCACAGGAGGACCACTTCCCCCCCAATCTGTGCGTGAAGGTGAACGGCAAGCCCTCTAATCTCCCTGTGAGTCCATTTATTTCCTCATCTCATGATGATCCATTTTGTGGAAGTGACAGGGTGACATACATTTGTTGTATCCTTTGCAGGGATATCTTCCTCCCACTAAAAATGGTGTTGAACCAAAAAGGCCCAGTCGACCCATTAACATCACTTCTCTGGTTCGACTGTCCACTACTGTTCCTAACACAATTGTGGTGTCCTGGACCTCAGAAATCGGGCGGGTAAGACCATTACCTTATACTGTTGAAAAACAATATCAAATGGAATGAGCTACAGACATGATGTACCTGTTACTTCTTTGTTGTTCAGAGTTTTTCCATGGCGGTGTATTTAGTAAGGCAGCAGTCATCTGCAGTGTTGTTGCAAAGGCTACGGGCCAAAGGAATCAGAAACCCTGACCACTCAAGAGCCTTGAGTAAGTAACCACTTTAACTGAATATACCTTTCATTTGTAGTTCCTCCTTTGACAATGTCTCTAAAAAGGTCATTTAAAAGTCTTCCTCCAATCAAACCTTTTTTTTTTCATGCCTCTACATTTTTATGTATTGTTTGATCACACAATGGCAGGTATTTGGAAATAAAAGGAATTAAACTGGTCTGAATATCAAAAAAGTCTTAGTTCTTTTTAGGTTCCCAGAATATTGGCCTTGTTCCTGTTTCGTGTGGGAAAAAAATGTGTTTGACATTTCCCTTCATTGTGGTTTTGCTTCATGAAAATCCTCTGTGATCCCAGCGTAATGTTTCTATGAATCAAAGTCTTATTGTCTTCTTTTTTATATTCACTGGATATTTAACATCTTGGTATGGTGAATATCAATTATTGATCATTTATTTTTTCTTCTTTCCTCTTACAGTTAAGGAGAAGTTGACAGCTGATCCAGAGAGCGAGATTGCCACCACCAGTCTACGAGTGTCTCTCCTGTGCCCTGTAAATATTGTTTACCACTATTTGCTCTTTTCTTAGCTATAAGATGTCATTTAGCTTATGATTACATCAGTAAGAATCTGAATTGAATTTCCCCGTTATTGTGGGAGTGCAGAGTTCTCAGTTGTTAAAACTTTCCCTCTCTGAATTAATTTTGAGAGACTTAAAACACAACAAAATGAAAAGGTGGTGGTTTAGTGCCAGATCACTTTCCTCTTGGTATATTAGTAGCATGTATTTGTCTTTTGTTTTGTCTAGCTACAGTCGGCACTACAACTGATTTTTTTTATGATGGAATGTTCATGAAATGAATGCAATATTTTTTTCTTTGTTCAAGCTGGGAAAGATGAGGCTGACTATCCCTTGCCGATCTATGACTTGCTCACACCTTCAGTGCTTCGATGCTACCCTTTATATCCAAATGAATGAGAAGAAACCAACCTGGGTCTGTCCAGTCTGTGACAAAAAGGCTCCATATGAGCACCTTATTATCGATGGGTGAGTCATATGGTGATTTTATGTTTGTTTGATATCAAATTGAATCTGTTTTAAAAGTATTTTCCATCTCTAGTTTAAAAAAAGTGCTTAGCTGAACCATTGCCCACTCCCTCTGAGAAGTACAGAGACATTCTGTGTCAGTGTTATTGAATTTGCATGTTAATCTTCACAGATTGTTCATGGAAATCTTGAATAGCTGCTCTGACTGTGACGATATCCAGTTCAAGGAAGATGGAAACTGGGCCCCCATGAGGTCAAAGAAGGAGGTGCAGGAGGTATCTGCCTCCTACAACGGTGTGGACAGCGGTTAGTAAGCGGAAGCTTTCCAAATTTCCAAGTTTGACATTCAGTGTGATCGTTGTGTACAATGCAAGTTTTTTTTATTTTTTTTTATTCAAAATTTGTATAGATTTATCTAGAACGGAAAGCCACGAGCAGAAACAGGGATCATCTCATGACAACAACAAGAAAGTCGATGTTATCGATCTAACGCTGGATAGCTCCTCAGAGGACGAACAAGACGATGAGCCCCCTCCAAAAAGAGTCTGTCCATCGCTGTCCCCTGTCTCTCCCCCTTCAAACAAGGGGTAAGCCTCCAGCCCATCAATCAGTCAGAAAGATTGCTGTGAAAAGTTTTTCTCTTGGCCAAAATCTACTCATGTCTGTCAGGGTGGCTCTTTTCCCTGACTATATATGCTATTTCCTGTCAGAGTACTGAACCTGCACAGCCAAGCATCACCTGTGGCCAGGGCTCCCAGTATGCCCCCTGTGGAGACCAGTTACATCCCCCCACCACCACCTCTCATCCAGGACTACCGCCACTACTATCACGCAAGTGACTTGCCAGGTACACTTGCTGATTGCCTGCCTTTGCTTTTATACAGTGTTTGAAGAAAAATTCCTTCATTTAACTTACTGGACTCCTCTTAATTTCTTTACAGATCTAAATTTCTTCTCCTTCCTCCAAGGGGACAATCAGGTACACTTATATATAAATGTTGTTGCATTACATCCTTTAAGTAATTTTGCAGCTGCGTACTAAGCTTGAGCACCTTGCCAGTAGTGTTCCTGTTTTACAGTCGGCTGTTGTGACAGTGACTCTCCTTTGTCCCATTAGCATTACAACATGGTGATGGCGGCTGCCGCCGCTGCGTCAGCCTCTGCTCCAGAGGATCACGACCTGCTCCTCAACCGCTTCCTCCCCTACAGCTCATCTCAAATGTTGCGGGAGCCGCCGGGCACCCCTGGGAGCAGCACGCTGGCTACCACCAACGGAGGCAGCAACAGTGGAAGCACCAGTAGTTTAGTGTCTTCCAGCAGTCTGCGGGATCGTGAAAAAGACAGAGACAGCCACACTATTTCAGGATTGTCCCGCTCTTCGGTGGAAGCTGCAGCAGCAGCCGCAGCCATTTATGGCTCCATATCTGACGTTATCTCTCTTGACTAGATCGCACAGAACTGAAGGACAAGGGAGACCTCAAACAGGAGTTATTTGTAAATAATGAAAAGTAAATGAAAGAATACAGTGCTATGTACAGAGAGGAAAATCTATTTTCAATTTGACTGATATGTATATAAACTTAGGACGCTTCTTGTCCGGTGAGTAACTTCAGTTGATATTTTTATGTGAATACTGAAGACTTTTTCACACCTCTTAATGTGGTCCTTTGATTATATTGTAGCTTTTGTACCTGGTTTTTACTATTTTGTTTCAATATTTAATGTCAATGGCATTATTTCAGCAGACATGCACAGGACCCAATGAGGCTACAACTTCTGGAACATGTTTAGAACATAAAGAAAATGGGCATTGATAACGATGAACAAAGAGCAGGCCACAGCAGCATGAGAAAATGTGGTACACTTTCTTTATTTTCTAAATTGCGTCAGTGTTTTGACAACAGAACTGTCAGGCCATCCTTGCCATCACTGTAGAATTATGTTCTCTAAGACTTTCATGCTGTGGTTGTTATTTTAAGGTATTATTTATAATGTAAGTTATGTTGGATTTGTGCTATATTTCAAAAGAAGCATTCCTTATGCCTCTTGGAACTGTTGCCACTAGAAATGCAAAAGCAAATTGCGAGATCCTTCTGTTGTCATAACTACACTTTTCCTCCCTTGTTTCTTTTAGGTTAATCAAATATGAAAAATATCTGTGTGCTTAAAATACATATTAATTGGGAGTAAGTCGGTCTTGTTAGATCAGGCTTTTTTGACATGTGAATGAAGGGCACCTGTCCAGCGAGCACCCACAATTGGACCTATATAAACATATATATATATATATATATCTATAGATGTATATATTTACACTCTCTAAATTTAGCATTTTTCATCAATGTAATGAAAATTTTTTGTGTATTACTCTTAAAATGTGTGCAGGAAAGTAGAGAGAAGTGTCCAACTGACAAATCTGTGCTCCACATTTAAGACAAGGCCGGTTTGGTCTATTTGAAGTTCATTCTTAACTGAAAATCTAGTACAATTCACTGGTTTTAAGTGGATTAATTACTTTTCAATCTGTTATTTTGTTTTAGCACTTGTTTTTTTTTTATATATGTGTGCATAAATAAGGTCTGTGTGGAGCAGTGAAAAGTTACAGTTTCAATTAAGAAGTTTTCAGCTTTGTATGTTTGCCAATTATCTAAAAGCTCACCTGTTTAAGAGCTGTGCTGTTCTGTGAGGACACAGGATGCATAGTCTTTTTGTGGTGTTAAATGTATTTGCAGAAGCCTTTAATATAACAGTGATAGCTTAGTCTTTGAGTGAATCACAACATTAATTTTGGCCCAGAGGTTGAGATTGAAATTGCTATGAATGCCTCCCCTCCCTTCTACCTTTCCCTCCCTCTCATTTTCTTTGTTGAAATTTTCATTTGTGCTCGCAATTAGAATTATTTATTATCATATATATTTTCAACATTTGTTTGATCCGTGAATATGCATTGCTGTCATTGTATGTGATATTTCTTTTCTAATTATATAAATAATGATATTTAAAGATGTCACTGTTGCTTGACATGCATTGTAACATTTTCAGTTTAATTTACCTTTTCAGTCTCTTTCGCTATTGGATGATGTCAATAACTCAATAGAAGCTTTGATAATTCTGAACAGCTACAAGGCCTACTGTGCTAATTGATATCTAAGAAAATTAAACAAAACACAAAAAAATTCACAAAGAAAAAAGGAAAGAAAATGAGAGGTTTACATTGATTTTTTTTACACAAAATACTTTCTGTAGTTAAGTGTATTGATAAGCATGCAATGCCGTTTAGAGGCTACATAACAAGGCTGTTTCGGGACGGATAAAGAGTAGTTATAGTCTTATTACTAGATCCACATTTTGCTGTAGGAATCTATTTTTTCAAGTTAATTAGGAAATTTGCAGAACGGCATTTGATAGAAGCTCAGTTTTTCTAAACAAAAAGTTGTTACCTCTTATTTTGGAGGGAGGATGAATTTATAAGATGGACCGTTGAAATCGCAATGAATGAAATGTTTCGACCGGTGTTCTTTTCGGAGCGGATAAAGACGTTGTCACATCATTGGTCGGAGCTCTACGTCAGTACGTAGAGTATGACCTTAGTAGTGAGCGGCGCTGTTACGGACTGGAATGGGAGCTGGCGATTTTTCCCATATTTCGATAGTTTAATCCGTGAATGGCGCCGAAACAGGACCCGAAACCTAAATTTCAAGAAGGTAGCGACTTGTTTGTTAAATGATTTGCTTTGTGCGTGCCACTGGTAACTGCTGAAGTCCCCTTAAGAATTCAAAAGTGTTAGCTTAGCTTGTCCAAATAAACAGTGGCGCCGCGTAACAGCTAGCCGTATTAGCTTTCATTGTTGTTGCCGTGTAACCAAAACGGGTCTTAATCACTATTATTGTTGACTTTTGTTGCTTCTTTGATCATATTTGCACCATGTTATCTATGGTTAGTAACAGGAAAGTACACTATCTGGATTTTAGCTATGCTCTTATTAGCTCACACGTTAGCTTCATTGATAGCTTATGTTGGACTTCACCGCCCACTTTGCTCTTGCTACTTAGCTAAATGCTAGCAGACTGACTGTTTACTTGTTGTTTTCAGGTGTAGTCTTGCTAATTTTGAGAGATAAATATCATAACGATAGCTTAGTGACGTCAATATAGGCAAGCTGAATTGAGAAGGTAATGCACACATAGTTAATTACGCGTAGAGTCCCACGTGTGCCGTTGGGTTACTCACAAACCAGAGATTCATTTTTAGGCGTAAGTCATGCCATTTGTCTTTAAGCAGCCCCGAATTGATCTGAACGAATGACATGTTCTCTTTTTGTGGACCACCTCCTCTCACAGGTGAAAGAGTGCTGTGTTTTCATGGGCCATTACTCTACGAAGCTAAGGTAGGCTGCCCCAGTTATCCTGTCATGAGGTCCTCCTCCCTGTGTTGGATATTTCTCATGCTCTCTTCCCATTGCAGTGTGTTAAGATAAATATCAAGGACAAACAAATCAAGTACTTTATTCATTACAGCGGTTGGAACAAGAAGTAAGTTTTTGGATGGATCAAGAATTACTTTTTTTTGTTTTTTAGGTTTTTAGGAGTAATTTATTGTTTTTGTTTTTTTGTTCTAATCCAGCTGGGACGAATGGGTTCCTGAAAGCAGGGTGCTTAAGTATGTGGACAGTAATCTTCAGAAACAGAAAGAGCTTCAGAGGGCAAATCAGTAAGTATAGTAACACAAATGTTTTGTTTTTTTAATCAATAAATATCCACACTATTAACATGTGCCTGTTTCAGGAAACTCACTGATTCGTTTTCACACATGAAGAAAAAATACATTCTGAAAAATGTGCAGGCAGTTTCAGTCCACCTTTTTCCGCAGTTTGTGTTCACACAGTTGACACAGGGGACTTTCTGCACTTTTACAACTGCAGATGTGGCAGAAGAATTGCTGGAAAGTGGCTATAGAGTGCCCAGGAGACTATTGACAAATTCCTATTGCAGATTTGTTGTTGTTTTCCAGGTTTAGATTGGCAGATTAGTTCCCCCCTACTTAGTTGTGGGGTTCAAGAGGACACTCACTCATATCAGCACACACAGCTGCATTGAATAGTCTGTGTGTGTGCATGAAGTTTCTGCTGCAGATATGTGTGGACGTGTGTATGAGTGTGTCTGTGAACACATACGATTTGAAGTAACTTGTGTTGTCTGAATTTAGAGACCATTATGTTGAGGGAAGAATGAGGGGTGCTGCGCCGAATAAGAAAATACCTGCTGCATCGCAGAAAAACGATGTGTGAGTCAATGCTCCTTTTTCTTCTATCACCTTCTTTAATGGTTGCTATTAGACCCCTTTCAGAATATTTAAACATTTCTTAAAATGTCTGTCTTTTTTGTAGGAAAACCAAAAAGAACAAACAGAAAAGTGAGTATTCCATGCTGTATATTTGGGCTACGGCCTATGTCTCTCTAGCTTTTTATGGCCAACATTGTGGTTAGAGCTTGAAATTGTCAAGAACAAAAGTTTAGTAAGTTTGTGTCTGTTCAGCTCCTGGAGCAGGAGAAGGGACTAGTTCAGGAGGAGACCCAACTCATCCTCCACGAAAGAAGAGAGCACGTGTTGACCCTACTGTGGAGAGCGTGAGTCCATGCAGCTGCTCAGCTACTTCTAGTAATAGTAATACTGTTCTTAGTAATAGTGCTTAACTTTTTTTTATAGGTATATTTTAGCTACACTAGAGTAAACAATTTGATTCTCTGTGTAGCAGAAACTATGACCAAATTGTTTGGAATTACATGAATTGTGTGTACTTGTGCTTTAATATTTCTGTCTGTTTAGGAGGAAACCTTCATAAATCGTGTGGAAGTTAAAGTAAAAATCCCGGAGGAGCTAAAACCATGGCTTGTTGATGACTGGGATCTGATTACACGGCAGAAACAGGTGATAAACCAGTTTCCACATTGTTTTGTGTCCCTCCTGTGTAACATTAGAAGTATCAATGTTTCATTTTGTTTTTGACTTCAGCTTTTCCACCTACCTGCCAAAAAGAATGTTGATACAGTGCTTGAAGATTATGCAAACTACAAGAAATCAAGAGGAAACTCTGACAGCAAGTAAAAACCTGTTTTCTTTAGTAAAGGTGCCATTGATTATCTGGAGGTTGGCTAGTGTCATTTGTGTGATCTATTTATTTTTTTCTTTCCATTGCTCAGGGAGTTTGCTGTAAATGAAGTAGTTGCTGGTATCCGTGAATATTTTAATGTCATGCTTGGGACACAACTTCTTTACAAATTTGAGAGGCCACAGTATGCAGACATCCTGGCCAACCACCCTGATACATCCATGTCTCAGATCTACGGCGCTCCTCACCTACTCCGACTTTTTGGTAAGAACGTAGTGTCCTACGCAAATGTTTTTAAATTGAAGAGCTGAGTCCATGATCACAATATTTTACTAGCACAATCAAACAACAGACGAGAGAAATGGTGGAAGACATGCTTCCTATATCTAATAGCTAAGTATTCAATCCACACTCCAGGTGGGTCAGCTGGTGGCTGGTTTGTCCTACTTCAAGAGCTGAAAAGTCCCTGATACAAACTTTTATTTGTGATGAAATGTGATAAACTAACGACCAAAGTTTAAAAGAATGAATATTATCAGTATCTACCAGTGTTGTTCTTGGACATTTGAAAGGAAAGCATAGTGTTGGTGTTTCCTGTTCACGGTACCGCACGTCAGTGTCATCTTCATCCACCTCTTTGACCCAAGTTGTCTGTTGTGTTTATAAAAGCCGTTCCAAAATGATGTTGAGCTGAGTGATTTAAGTGTCATTGTTTGGCTTTAAAAGTGAGAATAGGAGCCATGCTGGCCTACACTCCCCTGGATGAGAAGAGCCTGGCACTGCTGCTCAGTTATCTACAAGACTTCCTAAAGTGAGTGTTAAGAAAGCTTTCTACAAACTTTGGTAAATAATCTGCAGCAGAAATGATGCAAGTGATTCTCTGTTTCAGGTATCTTGTAAAGAACTCTGCTTCGCTCTTCAATGCAAGTGACTATGAAGTTGCCCCCCCAGAGTACCACCGCAAAGCAGTTTAAGGAGTCTTTTTTTACTTTTGGATCTGAAGTCTTTGGAAGCTGGACTTCAGATGTGACATTTTTACTTGTTGAAAGGAGGTGATTTCACCACACACCTTTTTGTAAAATCTGTTGAGTTATAAAGGAAGACCCAGGTCAAGATGTCAAAGTAGTCCCGGGACAGATTGTTTTTCTTTCATGTGGAAAGCTGCTGAGTACACACTTCCTATATTGGTATGTTTTTGAGTACCACCATCTAGTTTCTATTATGTATATTTTTTGTTCAGAGTCATCTTCTCAAAGATTTCAACATGATTATCTTTGTTTCCTGTTTCGATTCAGAAGCTGATTCTCCTTTTCTAATAAAAGTCTATTTGTCTGGTTGTTGTCTCGATTTTGAGGGTGACTAAAAAACGTTTATTAGGATCAGTTCATGTCTTTATGAACTGTTTAGTCTACTTTCTGGGTAGTTTCTGTTCCATTTGATAATTTTTTAATTGGTTCTAAAAGTAAAGACAATTGAGTTTCAACCATAATACATCGAACTTTTAAAATAAGATCATTGCTTCAAGATATATTTTTTTCTGAAGCAAAAACGTAAGTTATAAAATGCGATTTGATTTGAGTAGCAAAGTATATGCCCACAGAACTGTTCTATATTTCACAGTTTTAACGGTTAGTCAGACGTCAAATCCAGTGCCATTCATCTCCTTTGACGTACTTCCTCTTTAGGGCGTACTGTTAAAGACTTCTTAAAACTTCTTAAATGCACCTCATTCTCCAGAACATCTGCTCACCTCTGTCTGATTTACATGGAGGGGTTGAATTACACACACTCTTAATTCTGCTTTAGAAACCTGTGACCAGCAGAGATGGCCTTTAAACTCAAGCTACAGAACTGGCTCTGGGTGGTTGATCAATGTCACATTTTCCAATACCTCACTTGAAAGGCAATTTCAAAAGATGGCTGACAAGGATGTCTATATTTTCCTCTCTGGTTGAATTTTGTTCCCGCTTTGATGGCTTAAACAAAGTGAAGGCTTTGAATCAGTCTCTCGTGGCAAACATCTGCTGATACACAGCATCTGCTCTTCGGCTGAGGGAAGAGATAGAACGCTCTTTCTGACGCACTGGAGAAACCCACCTCAGCTCACCCTCTACCTTCGAATGTGTTCCTGAGCTGGTTGGCTTCCTGTCCATTGTTGTGATTTACTGGACATAAGAAAAAAAGGCTTTGGGCTGATTTGTGGGTTTAGCCGTCGGCTGTTTGCGGTTTGTATGGGTAGAGGAATCCAGAGCTTTTGGAGAAGTATTTCTTTAATCCAATTTCCCCCAGCCTTAACCACGACCAGATGTGTTTTTACTAGAAGGAGCTCTCAGATCGTAGCACCCTGGTGGCTTTTAAAAGCGCATCACAAAGACGGACGGGCACAGATGACTGCTCTGCAAAGCGGCCTCCTGCTTGACTTCATTTCCTTCTGCGTCAGAGGCCATCAGAGGTTCATCCTCTGATGTGGGAGCTTTCATGTGTCCCAGGTGAGAGTCCTTTGGTGGTGTCGTTACCTGACTCAAGCTTTCAAACAGGACACATGTGAAACACTCACTTGGATTGGTTGAACTGTGCAGCACCTTCTTCCAAATATTCACTCAGTGCACCTTACAATGTACTTGTTCCCCCATAGTCACACAGATGAATAGGTCGGGAAGAATGTGAGCGCTGATTTGCCCATAGACACTTTGATATGTGGTTTGGAACCACTGACCTTTCTAATGGAAGATAATCACTCTACCAACAGAGACACGGCTGCCTCAAAGGAGTTTTGTTTGCAACGTCCAACATCTCTCTTGTTTCAGTTATCAGCCCTCAGCCAAAAGTTCAAGGAAACTGTGTTTGAGAGAGTTTCATCGCAGCCAAAACAATATCAGTGATTACATTTCTCCAAATTTCCTTTATACCTGTGAGACTGGGTCACATGAAATCCAAGTACACGTTTTTCCAGCCCTGTTCTCAATCAGCATCCATATATGGTGACCATCTGGTCTCCATATATAAGTAAAGTTCTGCTATAAGGATCGGGAAATGTGTTTTCATCCTGTTGTTATTCTCCCACGTACTTCCTATTAAAAATCCTTTTTGTTATGCTTTCACTAAAATAAGTGATTCTCTGGTGATAGAATTTTTTTCCCCAACAAATGAATGTCAGGAAAAATAGAATGAAAAGGATTTTTTCTTTTCCAACCCAAAGAATGAGATTGTGGGGGTTAAGAAAGTGATAGTAAAGAAATCTGAAAAGCTGTAAACCTGCACTATAAGGATGGTATGACCTTCTCTCAGACGAAAAGCTTTTTTTAAATGTTTTACTTAGAAATGTCAGCTGTGATTGTTTTTTTGCCCAACTGATTTTAATGTTTTAGTTCAGGTGAACGTCTTGTTTTTGCTTAAGTTCCTGGGTCCTTGAAAAGCCTCTAACATGTGAAACTGTGAAGTGGCGTAATGCTGAATCGAAACCAACAGATGGCGAGCTTGTTACTGCTGTGGAAGTTTGTGTTTTTTTTATTCTGTCTTTGCAGGATGTTTACAAAAAAGATGACAGCTTCTTGTATTTGCTCTTAATTCCCCTCCCTTTAAATGACTTCCCCTTTTAACGGGAGCACATATGAGACAGTCAATCTGGAGAAATCATAAGTCGCTTGAGAGAAAGAAAAAAAGCAAAACCATTATAAACCCATCCAAACCATAAATTCAAGAGAAATCCTGCAGAGACACAAGAGAGCCCACTCTCACTACACAACAAATATGATCAGTTTAACTTTCTGACGAAAGCTATTTGAGTTGCGCATTGCTCCTCTTAAGCACATCCATCTGTTTCGAGCTCTCAGAGGTGAAAGACTGTCTGTGTTTAATGTGGTTGTGAATGTTTCCCCAGACTAGGACTTAGTGGTAGACTAATTACACAATGGGCACACAGCCACAGTAGCACACTGTTGCCAGAGTATTGTGTGACTGTATGCCATTAGTATTGGAAAAGTGCCTTTGCCACAAAGGGCTGTGGTCACTCGGAGCCTTTAAAACATGAAAGCATCTTTCCCACTCTTCTGGATAAGGAATTTGCAAGACATAAACAGCCTGTAAAATGGAAAACTACATCTGTGTCCATTTGTTTTTCTGAAAGGCGGCCAGATTTGGTAATTCTTACTGAGATTCTTTCCAATAACAGTGAGCAGTCCAAGTAAAGAAGAACTATTTGATCCATATGTTTTCAATGTGGCGTAGTGGTGGTTTTATGCCCAGGATCTAAACTTGGTGGGGCAGTAAGAAATTATGGCGGCCTCAGAAGATTTTGAGGCCTTATTCACCCAATTTGCACTCTGGATTAATCAGTCATTTTAAAAGGAATTTCTCATCAAAAAAACAAGGCAAACCCCAGAGTGCATATTAGTCATGCTCACTCAGGTGCTGCACCCAAGTATTTTTACACTGTGGAGAGTTTGTACAATCATTTTGCTCTGGCCAGATTTTGACTGGAACATCTGGCCTGAAAGGTTTTTCTTTTATCATCTGAAAAAAGGGAGTAAATGAGTAAAACATTTTACTGTCTGTTCTGAGAAATAGACACTTCCAAATATGGCAAAATAGTGAGAAAGCCATGGTTTTGTGTCAGTTTCTCCATATGAGGGATTCGGATTTATGCATTTATGCATCGTCCTAATGAGAATACAACAGGCAACCATTGTTGTTGTTTTCCTCTTGACATTTTGTACCTTTTATCCCTGCTTTTAGTTTCTTTTTTATAATTTGAAAATCCTCATGGAAAATTTGTAATATGTAACTCTTTTAAATATGTGTATACTTTTACATTTTCTTTTATCATTACTTGAACCATTTTTTCCCTCTGCTTTGATGAAGCTGAAGAGTTCTTCAAGGTTTTTTGGATCCCCCAAGATCAAATTTTGTGTTCGACGGTACAAAAACAGAACCGGTGTGTAACAAGAAAACAGAGAAGCCCTCAGTTCCTCAAAATAAAGCAACGGAATTAGGAAACTGTTGAAACTCATCTAAATTAGTTAGTGCCCATGTGCAAATGGGCCCTACAGTGAACTAGCTAAATTCTAATTTTATCTGCAGGGACTTCACTATATTGCACATCAGCTCGGCAGAAAATGGGGTTTCCTTTGATGTCGAGCAGGGATATAAAGTGATATGAAATGTCAGCTCGGAATATCTAAAGATAACTGTCTGTCTCTCCCTCATTAGGCAGGATACTGAGCTAAAACACCTTTTCATGTCACCACGGTAAACAGCTTAATGTGTTCCTCTTTCATCTGCTACTACCTTGTGTCTCCTCTCTGCTTTGATCCATGCCTGAGGATCTGAGTGTGATTGCGCCTCTTCACTGTAGATTTGTTTCTATGCTAATTTGGGCTTTCTGATAAGCCCTTTCTGGAAACCCTCATCGTATATCAAAAATTGAGGTTGAGGGTGTCATTTAACATTTGACACCTCTGGCAAAGATGGCCTCCCCTCCGAACATTCTGTGCGGAAGTCTCTTATGTGTCCACTGGGCCAAATCTTTTTTGTCTTCATAAAATCACAGACAGCTTAATAATAAAACAGATAAGAATCAGTCAGAATTGGGTTAAAAAATGCATGCAATTATAACAAAGATGATTGTTGGTAGCATTTGCTGTGTGGATTTAATTTTCTGCTTAATTCCCTTTTTTAAAATGAATGGAAATAGTCTGTAACAAGGCACAAAGACACAAAGTATAAATATTCTACCTGTAGAGGTCAGACTTGGTTGAGAATTAAGTCATTTGCAGAACAGAAGAAAGAGCCAAAGCTGTATTCAGTAAGAAGTTGATCGTGTAATGCAACGCTCTGATACCTCAAATATGCAGTAATTGAACCTTTTCCATGATATTTTGATGTAGCTTTGTTGAACTGGTCATCAAACAGTGTTAGCTAACAATGGTGAATGGCATGTAATGTCCAGGAAAAAGCTCTCCCCCTGGTGCCGAGCCACATCAGAGATGTTCCAACTTCTTTCTGGGCTATTAATATGAGAGGAAACCCAAATGATTAAAACATAATCATTTTTGTTTGTGATAAATTCCGCTTCATAAGATGATAATCAGTGTTACAGAGAAGGGGGTTACAGTAACACCCCTCTGTACTTGAGAGGTCTGCTGTTGTCTTTGTTGTTAGTCTCTGCTGTGTCATAGTAGAAAATTGAAATACAGGACCAAAGCCTTTAGGACATATGATGGATTGCTCAAGCATTCAACTAATAAATAATAGAATAGGTAAAAGGGAATAAAAGCAGACCTCTGATGACTCACAATGTGTTCATGGCCCGGCCACAAAAAAAAAAAAAAACAGAATCAAAATTTCATCACAGGATCTCCAGGTAGGTGCAATAAAATGTTTGGTTAACACCAAAACAAGCTTTTCAAATGTCAGGCAGCTGAGACATAGAGAC